ACACACACACACACACACACACACACACACACACACACACACAGAAAGAGGCCCCTGAATTATTCATGGTTTGGAGTGGCGCAGCTCTCAGGGCACAGTTTAAATGCTCCCCTGAAAGCGACGCTGACAGAACACTGATGGGCCCGTCCACATTAATTACACACAGACTCACACTAACAACAGGGGCCTCAGGGGCCCGTTTGGAGAACAGGAGCATGGATACCAGGTCGTTCTCTAAAATCCCTTCTTTCCTGATTTAGAAAACAAACTAGGAAACATTATTAACAGGATAATAGTTGGTCTGAAYGAAAAATGAAACATTGAAAATTGAGCCACTTTGAATGATTTAAAACTGCTGAACATTTTAATTAAAATGTAAAACCACAACAGGTTTTTTTGCTTAGTTATTTTTCTACTTCCTTGTCAGATGCTGTTAGTTGTGACTCCTGAACAGTTTGATTTAAATGTATATCCAGAACATTTGATTTAACCGTGGAGTCTGGTTGTGACACGTCGTAGACTTCTATCGGTTGCTTCCTGTCTCATCTTTCCTGGGTTGGCTTGTGTTTGTGACTCCTGAACATCTTGAACAACTTTTCATTTGTTTTATTTTTTGTTTGTTTTTTATCGTCCCACATCTGCTGGTTTTTATTTGTGACTCCTGAACATTTTGAGTTATTCTTAGAAGCAGAATATTATCTTTTGGTTTGTTTTGGTTTCTGTTTGTGACTCTTGAATGTTGTGATTTATCAGAAACATAATATTTTCTTTTTTATTATTTTGTTTTTTCATGTCTTTTGTCCCTCATTGACTGGTTTCTGTTTGATGGCAACTTGTGAACAGTTTGATTTGACTGTAAATCTTTTGATTGCTTTATTTTCCTGAGTGTTATTGATCCATATTGTTTAGTTTTCATCTGTCAGTGACTCTTGTATATCTTGATTTACTGTGTGAACAGTAGCATATATAATACCAGAGACATTGTTGGGTCAGTGTATCTTTTGGTCATTGGGTTTTCATTTTAGAAACGGGTATTAAAAACAAGAAARGAGTGGATATTTGATTTTTGTTTCAAAATACTGAAATTAAAATTAAAATACAAAGCCATTCTCATTGTTAGTGTCAAAAAGGGATGAACGAAATTTTAAAAATGATTGATGAAATTGAATTTTATTTTCTGTTTCAGATAGAAAAAAAGAAAATTACTTTAAGACAGAAATGAAAAAAGGCTTGTTTGTTCATAATCCATGACAGGTCACGCCAACTTACTGTATCCTTACAATAAACTGTTTCACTACCAGAAGTGGTGTCTGCAATATCAAAGTTATTTAATGAACATCCCATTACAAGTAAAAAACACTGATGTTGACTTTGGTATCAAATATATTTGCCAAGTATTTATTTGGAATCAGATCAATATCAAAGTCATAGTACCACCCACCCTTCACTGAAAGGAAAAATCTAAGGACGCAAACTGACAGAAAAAAAAAACAAGCACAGATTTTGTCAAAACTCAGGAGGGAAAAAAAACTTTCTTCTCACAGAACAACAACTGTACAACACACTTAATGGAATGAAAGTTGTCATATTTTGCTTTTTATTGAGAGAAATGGAGGTGAAGTGGAGGCAGTAGCTGACGTGTATTCATTAAAAGAGACTTATTTGGCCAAAAGCCACATGAAGTATCTCTGCAGCCTTTGGTCASAGAGAAACAGTCATCATACAACTCATTTATGGACATACTTCTCTGTGCTTCAGCCTTTTATTTACAGAAATCAGTGTTTCTTTTTGCAGAGCTGCCAGGTGAGCCTCTGGTGGGGGAATAGATGGTCGTAGAATACAAACAAACAAGACTTTTCCCGTTTCTGCCTTTAAGGCACAGTGTGTAGGATTTTGTCAAGTCTTTTAGCCAAAATTAAGATAATCACTAATGACAATAATAAAAAACATGTCTAATCATTGCAGACAAAGACCTTGTTTTATTATTTTTACCTTATAAAAAGCTGTTTATATCTCCATGGTCGTGGGTCGCCCTACAGGCAGCCGCCATCTTGTCTACGAAGGCTCATGAAGGATAAACTGCGGTGGCGGCGTCAAAAACGGTTTTAGTTGTAAAACAGACAGCAAGTAAATGTAATATTTGCTGTCTGTCATTGTAGCTGGGATAATTTTACTTATTAAAGCTCATAATCTTACCACTTGAAACATCACTAGCCC